CCCCAAAACCCCAAAACCCCAAAACCCCAAAACCCCGATGAATTACAAACAAGTTGAGTGGCTATATTTGGAAGGCTTTTATAAAAGATTTACTTTTTTCTTGGCTTCTTCTTCTTAGCCGGTTCAGTCTTTTCCGCATGTTCGATCTTTACTTCAACTTTGTTGCCTTGGTCAACCTTCATTTCACTTAGGAGATTGCTCATATCCATTTTAGATGCCCAGTCATGACCATCGGCGTTCTTAGAGTCACAGAATGTCTTAACGAAATATTTTACCGTCTTCTCATGGGTCTTGGTAAGATCAGGAGCATGTGAGTTCGACATGGCATAGACCCTATTTGAGCTTTCACTGCAGTTCATGTAGGAGACATGCTTGAACTGAGATGTCATGAATTTATGAATCTCATGCTTGTCAGCCTTGGAGAAGGCACATGTGTTAAAGAGGACTACATGCTGATCTTCATTCAGGGCTCTGTGAATTCCTTTAAAGAAATCTTCAGTAAGGATTGATTTAGGTGGGATGTATTTAAATTCAGTGTCACCACTTCCGATATCAACGAAGAGAACATTTGTCTTGCCTGGTAGAGTTTCATTAGCCAAGTATTCTTCAGCAGAGGTAATGTGAGATCTAAAATTTGATCCAAGATCAGTATTGAACCCAAAGTAATCTTCTCCTATTTTGACAATGGTTTCATCAATATCGACTGTATTGAGTCTTCCTATCATTGGAGACATTGTCTTGTAGATGAACATAGGCAAGATACCAGCACCTGTACCGAGAACTAAGAAGTTAGACTTCTTTTCAGTATTGTTCTCATCTTCAAAAGATGGGGCATAAGTGCACAATCCTGCCATCATGGCTGCAAGATACTCACTATTAAGGTGATTATGATCTATATAAAGAAACTCGTCTTCGTCTGTCTTCCAGAGAGGAGATCTGACCTTGGTGAAGGAAGATAGATGCTCTTTTTTACCTCTGTTTCTTTTCCTTTTGATTATAATGTCACTTTGAACTTCACCAAGTTTAGTTTTAAATTTTACAGCTCTTAAGATATGCCTGTCTTCTTCGTCCTCTCCTGCACGGAGATCTTCGATTACATACTCATCTACGTGCTCGTAGGTGTCGATCTCTTCATCATCGAACTTGTCTTCCTCTCTGATGATGTGATACTTCTTGCCTATCATCATTCTTTTACCAATGTCTGCTCCTTCGGAGATATAAGGGATCTCATTAGTGTATCCTTGTTGGGCGAATCTTATGATGGATCCTTCAAGCTCTTTCTTCACAGCTTCGAAGCTATCAAAGCTTTGCCCACTGTTGAGATGGACCACGATTAGCCTAGAGTGGGCCACACTCGCATTGAGACGCTTGTAGCCTGACTCTGTGGAGTAGACTGGGTAAGTCTCTTTACCTTGTGGGACTATGAGGATCGCACAAGTATTTTTCTGAAGGATATCTTCATCCTCACTGTCAACGATTCACAGCTTGAATCTTGATTTTTCTGCATCTGTAGTCTCAGTAGCAGACTCAAGATGGATCTCAAGGATTCTTCCCTTGCTGAGTTTCTTGATATGTCCATGCTGAAGGTTGACCATCTGAGTGACCATGATTTCAGACTTGGCTTTATCAATGGGGGCAAGATTTCCATTAAGGTTAATCATAGTCTCGAAATTCTCTTTGAATGCTCTCATCTTCTGATTCTTGGGGTCAAATTCACTTCTCTTCACAGTTATGAGGTAGGCAACTCTATGGACTGATTCTTCTGCTTTGGAGTCAGTAGGATTCCCTTGAACAAATATTTCCTCAAACTTTAGCTCAGTGATTGATTTCCAATGATATCTATTAGCATGATCTTCATTTTTCAGGAAGAATGATATCAATTTTTCCAGAATATGGCTCTGAAGCAGACTAATAAACACTATTTGGCCGTTATTGGGCTTTGTAACTCTCATTAATTCAGTAAAGTATTTAGCAATAGCAGCTTCATTTTCTTCATCGATACCAGTATAAAGAGCATCAAGTGTTCCTTTATCCAAAGAGACATCAATAGAAGCATCTTCGATTCCTTTCATGTCTTTGACATCCATTGTAATGTAATCTTCTACTCCAGGGACGCCGACTTCGATCTTCATTTTCTCAATGATTTCTTCTTCAAAGTCTATGCTTGTGACCTTGCCGTACCCATCGAGGCGCATCTGATGACTAAGTTTGGAGTCACCACAGCCAGGCACGAGAACATGTGCTTCAGCCTTGGTGATCCCAGTGTTGATAGTTTTAAAGTTACTATCTAGCTGGTCCTTCACATCATCGTAATTGGCATACCATTCAAATCCTTTCTGCTTGATGATGTCTGATTGCTTGTAGAACTCATTCCAGTACTCCTTGGTATGGAAGTCGTCTAAAGTTTTGGGGAGTGTTTTCTCCATTTTATTTTTATTCTCAATCAACTCCTTACTGCCAGGGGTTTTGGGGTTTTGGGGTTTTGGGGTTTTGGGG